CCCCAGAGGTTTCCTACACTATCTTCAACTTTCTGGATTCTCTTATCTTCTCCCTTCTGCAGAGGAGTGTCCTCTGGCTCTTCGTGTTCTAAATCTGTCTTGATTCTTGTGATCTTCCAGTCTGCTTTTAGGACTTTGTATAATATTTTTTATTTCAGACAATGTTTTCTTCATTTCTTATTGATCCCTTATTATTTCTAGTTGCTCCCTTTTCATATCCTCATAGGTCTCATTTATTTTATCGGCCTTTTTTAGGATATTGTTGAATAACCTTATAACTGTTTTGAACTCAATGTCCAATCTTTTCTTTTCCTCCATCTCCTTCCTTTGTGTCCTTCCTCTTGTCTGCATTTTAGTTGTTTCCCTGATTTGATGGAATAGCTTTGTGTTCTAGGTGTTCTGGTAGAGCCCAGTAGCACAGCCTTCCCAGTTACCTGCGGTGGACAGTCTTGGTGTAGCCCTTTGTGAGTTGTGTGTGCAGTCTTGTTGTTAAGCCTTGCTTATTGTTGGTATCACTGGGAAGCGTTGATCTCCAAGCCAATTGGCTGTGAGGATCAGCAGAGTCTCAGCTAGGAGGGCTTCTGTACTCTGGTTGGATAGGGCGGGGTCTCGGGGTGGCACAGACAATCTTTGGTTCCCTGTTAGTCTCACCTTAGAAAAGACCTGTTCTCGGAGAGTTTCGGAAGATTGGTTGCAGGCGCGTGCACCTCTTTGGTAAAGGCAGGGACAAGCTTTGGGTTCCTGCCAGTCCCTCCTTAGAGAAAGCCAGCCTCTGGGAGAGCTTCTGAGCTCAGCCAGAGATGGGGTGGAGTCTCGGGTTGGTGCAGACAAACTGTTTTCCCTTGGGCTCCTCCCCAAGTCTTACAGTAATGGCCTCTGGCTTCACTTACCTCCAAGAGATCTCTGCCCACTGCCTGACAATCTGGCCTCTCCCTGTCTGGGGCCGTCTATCAGAGCAATAGGCTGATTCTGTTTTCCTCTCGAACAAAAAAGCCAGTTGTGCGTTAGCTGTCTGCCCTCTCCGCACACCAGGAGTAAGCCAGTAGCAAACTCAGCCCAGCTTGCCCTCTCTGCGCGCCGGGAGTAAGCCAGCAGCAATCTCTGCCTGGCCCTTCCTCTTCCCGAGCCGGGAGGAAGCCTGTGCCTTTTCGCGCACACAGTTCTCTGTACCTTCACAGTTCCTGAGGTTCAGCGTGCCTTCTCTCTCCTTCCGAGATGGCAGAGCCTCTTCTCAGCTAGCTGTCCAGCACTTCAGGGCAATGCCTCCCCTGTTTTTCGGTTCTAAATTCAAATTTGTTGTGGTAGGCTACATTCGGGTGTCTACCCTATGCCATCTTGGTGTAAATGGGTTGACAACTTTAATTTGTTAATCATATGTAAATATAAGTTGATTTTCTGTTGTTGGTACTTCCCACCTAAGAGATGTCTTTGTTTCAAAATCTCAACAAAAGGAATGGTAAAAGGCCAGAGAGGGGTTAGTCTTCCCACTAGGGGTGGACTTCCCACCTGGCCCCCATTTTCCCAAATTAACTCTTTTCCAGTCTCTCTCTTCATTTTAGCGTGCGGCCTTCTCCAGAAACAGGACCTTGAGTGGGCCTTGAACCACGCGGGTCGTGTTAAGGGATCCCACACTCTTGCTCAACATTTATTAAATAACACTGCTTAGATTTCCTACAGATAGTATTTATAATAATTCCTTAAAAGTTACATGTTAATTGTTAACAAAAAAAAATTGAAACCTGTAAAGATTTTTTTTGTGAGTTTATTTGAGCCTTACTGTCGACATGTGCCGGGAAGCAGAACCTCAACGGATTGAGATAATGCTCTGGAGAATGGCGGGTTACATTTCTAAATTTATACATTGCAATCAAAGGAAATTCATTGGTGATAGATTAGGGAGGTGGGACAGAGCAAAGCAGGAGGGGGGGGACCTCTGGGATAGGGTAAAAGGTTAAATGATGGACACGAGCTTCTTTTACAGAGATGGATACAGGATAGTAATGTAATTAACAGTTGACAATTAACTTGATAACAATAACAATGAGGCCATTTGTTGTGCCCTGAGGGGTCTGGGGTAAAAAGGAAGTTACAAAGTTACCCAGATATCTCACAGATATGTTATCTCAGATGCAGGAAGGCAGAGGGGCTCAGTAAAAGATCAAAGTTGATCTTTGTCAGGTGATAGATTATATCTGGTACATGACTACTACTATAACCTGTTAGATATTTAATTTTCAAATCATCTTTTGTGGTTATCTTAGGTCTCTGGCCTTCCCTGAGCTTGTCAGGTCAGCATGTGGCTCTTTTCCTTCACATAATGAAGTTATTCTATATTCACTGGAGTAACATGATAAAGAAATCTATGGGAAATTCTTTTGGGATGAGAAGTCAGCAGCCTGCCCTAGTCTTGGTTCAGGTACCGTGTAAATTTAGGTAATATTTGTCGGTTTCCTTACATGTAAAACGGTAATTTTGGACCAGATGATTTCAGGGCTCCTTAACAGATCTAAAGTATCACTAAAATGTTTTGACATATTATTTGATATTTTCTTGGTAAAAGATATACCTGTATTTCTACTCTGAAGAATGCTTGCAAAGTTGTTTATTTTTTTCAATGATAAAATAGACTCATGAAAGACAAATTGAAACTATAGATTGAGAGAGCAGGGCGGGGTGAGGATAAACTCCGGACTCCACTGTGGGGCAGGGAGGAGCTATCCTCCATTTTGTGTAACGACCCTAGTCCTCACCCAACCAATCAGGGTCAGCCAAAGCAGTGACATCACCACCAGAGTAGAACCTGGGCTTGGTGAAATTCGCGTTCTTCCGCCATGCTGCCGGGAGAGTGGGACAGAGCCCATGCTAGCATGGAAGAGGCGCTTTTATTTATTGCATCGGACTCGGCTCCCTGGTAGTCCTTGGGGATCACAAAGTCTGGGTGTAACATAGATAAATAGGAAGAAAACGGGGAGACACTAATAGAACCACTCCCTGGAGATTACTGCCCTGACCTTCCTCCCTTCCCTCCCCGCTCCCTCCCCCATCAGCTAGGATCCTCCACAGACAGACACGGAGTCTGGACCAGCCCCGTTGCTCAGGGCCCTGCCCTGCAGAGACCTGACATTCTGAGGGAACTGATCACAACTGCAGCTGGTCCATATTCCCAGGTCACGGATGGCAAAGTCACCACTTGCATTAGCCAGAGGCTTCTGCTCAAGCAGCGGAAGCCGACATCAGGGATGGGGACTGAGTTCTGGTTTCTCTTCCTTCAGAAGACGATGTTCCCAGCAGTGGAAGGCATCCCGATCTTAGATGCCAAGACAGCCATGACAATAACAACCACCAATGAGAGGGAAACCTGACTTCCTCCACGCCCCCAGACACACGGTGATGTCACCCTGAACAAACTTCCATCATGCAGACCCCGGCAGAGGCACAGGAAAGAGTGTGAGATCCCATTCTTAGTATTTAAAAGGACAGAAACAGAATCATAAAGGAGGGAATACCAGTTCTAAGCTCTCCCCTCGTGAGATTTCTAATTGCTCTGTCCTTTCTGCAGCCCCTGGCTGTCACAACAGGACAGACACCAGGAGCAGTCACCGTGGCCCAACACCTCCATGTCAGTGGAATGACTGCTGGGCCAACAGACTCCTCCAGCTGAGTCCCTCACAGCTAGGGAGCCAAAAGGACTTGCCAGTGTGCTTAAAGCGTGCTGCATCATGTGACAAGGGATTATGGGAGAGCCCTCAGGGACCGAATGCATCTCCCCATCTCATCCTTTGCTGAAACCAGAGAAAAGTTATTCAACTGTAAAAGCAGATTGTAATTCACAGCAGTCAAGTCCTGCTTGCAACTGTGAATGCAGACAAGCTGGAGAGGAGTCCCCGCACACACACATACTCACACACTCCCTCACATACACACACACTCACACACTCCCTCACATACACACACACACTCACACACACACTCCCTCGCATACACACACACACTCACACACACACTCACACACTCCCTCGCATACACACACACACTCACACACAAACACACACACACACACTCCCTCACATACATACACACTCACACACAGCCACAACCAGCGGAGGGTTCATCCACAGCCCCAGAGGAGCTGCGTTTTCCAGGAGAGCTTAGCCGCCATGGCAGCCGGGCACAGAGCAGTTGGCACTAATGGGCTCCCTGGAGCGCGGCTTCCGGAGACAGCAGGCTCCCTGCAGGTGGAGGCTGCACTGAGCCCAGCTCCAGGCTCCACCAGCCCGCATCCGTGAGAATTCTCGTGCTGGCTTCCTGTCACACTCTAGAATATATATTAAATGGATAAAATGACCATAGCTAGCCAGCCGGCTGCTGCTCTGGGCCAGGCCAGTTCTGAGAGCTCCGTTAATCACCGGGACAGCCAGCATCGTCCTCGGTTGACAGACGAAAGCCAGGAAGCGCAGGGAGGCGAGGCCACAGCTACGAGCGTGGGCTCAGGGGCCGTGCGGGCCTCGGACACCCGGTGCGGGGGCTGCAGACCGCTGGTGCCGCCGCCAGACCGCTGCGGGCGGGGAGGGCCCGGGTCCGGACAGGCGGCCCCCGCCGGGCAGCGCTCCGTGGGGAGGACACGGCGTGGGGAGGACACGGCGTGGGGAGGACACTGCGGAGGCGGGCGGCGGGCTGGACCAGGGGCCTCACAAAGGATCCGGGACGCCGCAGCGCTGGGGCAGGGCCGGAGGGCGCTCCGCAACCGGCGGGCCCGGGGGCGTCGGACCCAGGAAGCCCGCAGACGTCTGGGGCTGAGCGGCCGCCGAGGGCCTGCGGGGCCGGTCAGGCGTCCGGGGAGCCCGGCAGCCATCGGGGCAGAGGCGGAGGGGCCGCCGGGGCCTCAGCCCATCGCGCCCCTCAGCGGGGCCTCACTTCGCAGAGCCCGGAGGAGGGAGGGTCTCCGCCCGGCTGCCCCCCCCCCCGACTCCCCCTCCCCCCGGGGGCGCAGGGCCGCTCACCTCGCTCATCTCGGCGGACGGACTGACGGAGCGGGCGGCACGTGCAGCGAGGCGTGGCCCTGCGGCGACGGCGGGAGTTGCGGGCTCGGCACGGCTGCCGGTGGGGCGAGGAGATCGGTGCGGGGCCTCCGCTCCCGCCCGGCTCGCTCCCTCCGGGCCAGCCGGGCTCTCGGCTGTCAGGCCGCCGCCCGCATGCACCCTCCGGCCTCCCGCCGCCTCAGGCCCCGCCTTTTATAGTCAGCTCGGCCCCGCCTCCGGCCCGACCAATAGGCGCCTCCGCTGTAGAGTGACAGCCCTTGCATCCAATGGAGGAAGGCTCCGAGGTCTCCCGCGGCTCCAACTAGGGTCCGGCCGTCGGAGCGCGGGAAGGAGGGGCCCCGCCGCGGCCGCGGGGAAGGCGAAGGGGGGGGCAGCGGCGGAGCGGCGTGGAAGGAAAGCCAGAGGATGCATGGGATGCGGGAAGCAATGGAGGAAGGGGTGAAGGCGAGAGACATTGCGACTGAGACTGGGGGGTAGGATAGCAATCGAGTGAGAGAAGGGCGTCAGGGGGACGGGGAAGAGACAGACCAACCGAGAGACGGAGGGGGGGCACGTGGACAGTTCTCTGGGGCGAAGAGCAGGGGATGGTCGGGTAGCCTGTTTGAGTTGGAAGTTCGTAGATCCCAGGAGGTGAAAGACATTTAGGATTCATCAATGCTACATCCCACATAGTGTAAAACAACAACACACACCAACCAACCGACTTACCAAACAACCAACCTCCCCACCAAGGTTAATGAGCTCCTCCCAACAGCTTATTCGTTCAGTTCCAACAAAACAATGGGCCCTCCATTGTGCCAGGCACGCTGGTGAAGCTAAAAAAAAAAAAAGAAAAAGAAAAAAAAAAAAAAAAAAAGAGGGGCCCCTGACATGCTCGGGGACGGATGGACGGACGGAAGGGAGGGTCCCGCCCGGGCCAGCTCCAGCCTCAGGCTCTGCAGCCGGCGGCCCGGGCTCCCACCCCGCCCTGAGGACTCGGCAGCGAGCTGAGCATCAGCAAACAGCTTCCCTGCTGCTGTGCCTCGGTTTTCTGATCTGTAAAATGGGGCTATTGCTGCAGCTCCCAGACAGGGCTGCTGGGAGGAGAGGCTGAGCCCGGGCGAACGGGGCTCTCGAAACGCCAGCGGGCGCCGCCCACTCTGCTCCCCACGGAACCGGCGTCCCCGGGAGGCAGTGCAGACGCGGGAGCCAGACCGCGGAGGCTGGGCCTTGCTCCCACGACGCCCTCGCCGTGCAGCCTTTTCTGCGCCTCCCTCTCCTTTCGGGAAAGTGGGATGACCCCACGTCCCCCCCCCCGAGGCGCTGCCATGCCCTCGGCCCCGGCACGCAGCTCCCCATCGTCGCCACCTGCCCCCCGCCTTCACCCGGGACCCCCCTCCCACGCCAGCGAGCCCCGACACCCGGCCCCTCCGTGGGCGCACACCTCGGCGCCTTCGAATTAACCTGCGTGACGAGCCCCGTCCTCAGACACGCCCGCCCCCACGCCCCCGCGTCCAACCAGCGTCACGGACACAGCGCGAGCCGGCGTGCGGGCCGGCTCAGCACTACACACACACACACACACACACACACACACACACACACACACACACACACACAAAAGGAGATACCTTACGACTTTGCACCTATTGTTGTCGTTAAAATAGCTTTCAAGCCCTGGCCGGTTTGGCTCAGTAGATAGAGCCTCGGCCTGCGGACTGAAGGGTCCTGGGTTCTCTTCGGGTCAAGAGCACATGCGTGGGTTTCCGGCTTGATCCCCAGTTGGGGGGACGTATTGGAGGCAGCCGATCAACGATTCTCATTGTTGTTTCTGTCTCTCCCTCCCCTTCCTCGCTGAAATCAATTATATATATATTAATGTTTTCAATATGCAGCTTCCATGCCCTAGAGTCTTGCTTGTTTCTTTCAGCAGTCCAGGTAGCAGCCCATTTGGTGGTCCAGGTTTGAGGACCAACACTAGCCACGTGGACTCTGCCCAGGTGCAGGGACAGTTGTGAAAGATGAATCCCACAGTCCAACCTAGGCAGATCATTTTTAATAGGATGGAGCTTTAGGGAGAAGGGGGGAGTGGAGGGGATCAATGAGGAGGGGACTGGGACATCTGTAATACCTTCAACAATAGAGATAAATTAAAACATAATTTACTAAATAATTACTGTGTTGTATAAGTTTTAAGAAAAATATGAATAGAGCAAGATTAAAAGAAACAGAATGGCTTGGCAAATGTCATGATCTCTCTAATAACTTCAATTGCTATTCCTGTTAATCTGAATATCTAGCTTGCCTTCCAACTTTAAGGAAGCTCTTCCAGTTCTCTGGCTTGGGACACTCCTAAGCATTGCTCAGCCTCTGAGTCAGCCAAAGCCACACACTTTCACGGGACACCCTCTTGACAGATCCTTTCCTGAGTCCTTCACAGCTGAGCCTCTCTCAGCCAGGACCACTGATCTCTCTCCACAGCAGCTCCAGGGATGATCTCGGTGCCCTTTCTCTAGCGCCACCCTCTGAGCTGTACATTTTCTCAGCCAGGTCAGAAACCAAGGAGATGGGAAAAGACCCGGTCTCTTCCCACCCACCTGCAGCCCTGACTCTCACTTTCCCATGGGAACCTGGCTGCCTAAGGTATTAAGTTTCTAAGTTGGGGTCTCTTACTCTTCTGGCTCCCCGCCTTTCTAAGGAATTGCTAATTAGCACGGGAAAGCTGTGAAACAGGCTCTCCACAGCTCTTAACCAGCAGTGCAAGGGGATAAAGGAGTTCGAGATCCTAGACCAGGAGTCTGCAAGCTTTTTCTGGAGCAGCCAGAGAGTGAATGGCTGATGGTCTCTGTTGAAACTCCAAGTCTCTCCTTACAGTTTATAAGCATAGGCAATATGTAAACCCATAGGTGGGGCTATCCTATCTAATAAAGAGGGAATGTGTTAATTGACCCTCACATTGTCACAAAGATGGCAGCACCCACAGCCAATAAGGAGGGAATATGCTAATTGACTGCCACACTCTCAAAGATGGTGGCATCCAGCCCCCTCAGCCCTGCCAGGCAGGCCTGGCCTTGCTGCACCTGCCTCCGGAGTCCCCCAGTCCCCTCAGTCCCACAGCCACTCAAGACCAGCCCATGGTGCAGGCAAGCCTCAGATGGTGGCTGCCCAGCTGCCCAGGGTTACCTGAGGCTCAGGTAACCAGGGCTGGCCCAGGCTTGCACTACTGGCAGTGGCAGTAGCAGAGGTGTGATGGGGTGTCACCTTCCCCTGATTGCCCCTGAGGGTTCCCAGACTGTGAGAGGGGGTGGGCCAGGCTGAGGGAACCCCTCCAGTGCATGAATTTTCATGAACCAGGCCTCTAGTGTTTTAATAAAACTTTATCTGGGGACACTAAAGCATGAATTTCATATAATTGTCATGTATTATAAAATATTCTTTTTCTTCTTTTGAAATTTTAATTTAAAAAACATTATTAGTTCAAAGGCCACAGACCAGATGTGGTTCACAGGGCATAGACTGCCCACCTTGCCATAGGTGATTAAATGCCCAAGGACAGCCTTAGCTGGTTTGTTCCAGTGGCTAGAGCATCAAACTTGCTGACCAAAGTGTCCTGGGTTTGATTTTGGTCAAGGTCATGTACCTTGATTACAGGTTCCTTCAGGCACGAGCATGTACAGGAGGCAACCAATCGATGTGTTCCCTCATATTGATATTTCTCTGTCTTTCCTTTTCTCTTCCACTTTCTCTAAAAATCAATGAAAAAATATCCTCAGGTGAGGACTAAAACACACACACACACACACACACACACACACACATGCTCAAGTGCACTGTAACAGTAACTTATCCTAAATAATAAAAGCCTTATGCTAAGTGTCTGACTGTTCCTTTGACTGTTTGACCAGTTCTTATAACCCGCACTAACCACCATGGGGCAGACTCCAACTGGTAGGTTAGCTTGCTGCTCGGACTGGGCGAGATGGCCCTTATGGTCTCCAATTAGCCCCAATCAGGATTGGGCCAGAAGAGCAGGACAGGCCCTGGGGCCCTCCTGTAACCCTTCCCCAGCACCAATCGGCCTGGCCTGTGCCCTCTCACAGTCCAGGACCCCTCAGAGGATGTCGGAGAGCCAGTTTCAGCCCAATACCCACAGGCCAGGCCAAGGAACCCAACCCCACCAGTGCATGAATCCATGCACCGGGCTCCACTATAATAATAAACAGTAACAGGTCAAAGAAGAAAGACATTGTTCAGGACCAAAAGAGTCCAAAGCTTCCTGGGGAAAATGGGGTCTGGGATGGATCTTTAAAAAAGAGTAACTCTCACATACTCTGGTTTCTCTTCAGATCGTATAAATCTTTCGCCTTTTAAAAAAGAGTAACTCCCAGGTTGCGAGTTTAGTTCCCAGTCAGGGTGTGTACAGCAGGTAAGTGGTTAATGTTTCTATTTCTCCCTCTCCCTCCCTCCCTCTTGGGACTCTGAGAGCTTCTTGGATTTTTTCTTCCTCCTCCCTCTCTCTATAAAAAAAAAAAAAATCAATAACAGCTGAAACCCGTTTGACTCAATGAATAGAGCATCGGCCTGCAGACTGAAAGGTCCCAGGTTCGATTCCGGTCAAGGGCATGTACCTTGGTTGCGGGCACATTCCCAGTAGGGGGTGTGCAAGAGGCAGCGGGTCGATGATTCTCTCTCATCGATGTTTCTCACTCTCTATCCCTCTCTCTTCCTCTCTGCAAAAAGTTAATAAAATATATATTTTTAAAAATCAATAACAGTGGGTAGTGGTTAAGTGTCAACCTGTGAACCAGGAGGTCACAGTTCAATTCCCAGTCAGCACTTGCCGAGGTTGCGGGCTCACTGTGGAGTGTATAGGAGGCAGCTGATAATGATTTTTCTCTCACTGATGTTTCTATCTCTCTCTCTCTCACTCTCCCTGCCTCTCTGAAAACAATGAAAATATATTTAGAAAAAATCAATAAGAACATATTTTA